GCATATAAATATTCCTACATACAAACACACATATAAATGTATAATGATTTTAAATATATTTAATGTCGAGAACATACAAATTACTTATGAAGAGTTTTTATTATTTTTATGAAATTAGATAATTTATGGGACCTCTAATAAAAGAGAAATTAAAATTTCCCAAGAGAAATCGTTAAAAAGAATATCCTCTAACCTAAAAATAAATGCATGGTTGGTTGGTTGATTGGTTATTTGAATGTTTAGTTATTTGGTTTAATGGGTGGGTTGAGAGCCCAAACGCTACCAGCGCCGCTCCTAAGCCATTAGGTAGGCTTACATGCGTATCCCATCTATGCATTCGCGTACAGCTCGCCTGATTAGATAATTAAGTATTATGAGCCACATTCGAAGTGCTTCATAAATGATTCATAAATGACTTATAATTTTATCGGACTAATGTCGAGAGGGCGAGGTTAACTAGGTTATGTTGATGGAGCCGAAGGTTACAAGCTTACTTTGGCCATAGAAGAACCCATTGTGAGGTCACTAAGAATTTCATTAGCAACCGATTCGCTTGTCAAAACTTCGTGTGGTGTTGGCAAAACAGATAAAAGAAGACGTATGTATCTTTTCACCTGGTGTTTCGCTCAAGCCTCTAAAGGTTGCCCCCTAGAAACTTCAACCTACTCCTCGAAGGATATTCCTCCTTACTACATCTCTTATAGAAGTCGGAGATATATCGTCATATAACGTACCATAGCAAATATCTTTTTCCTTTTAAGCTGCCCAACCATCTTCTATTCCTTGCCGGTCACATTATCCTAGTCACATTGCAACAATTGAGTCCTTTCCATCTTGAGTTAGCAGCTCTTTTGGTAAGCAACAGCGGCATGCGCAGACTATTTCTTGAAGTTGAGGTGCCCTTCCTTGCAAGCTCGATAATACAGTCGGGAAGGACTTTCAGGCTTCTTTGCTGAGGTAGCTGCCATTGCATCTGATATACCCAATAAACAAATACGTTGCGTCTGTTAAGACTCACTGGTATATTTCTAATAGCCTCAGAGTGCACTTATTAGAGTATCTCATCCCCATAGGTTCATACAATAGCAGCCGTTGTAAAATTTTTATTTAGTAAAATCGAAAAAAATGGGGCTTGAAGTTCGATCGGAAAACATGGTTTCGAGAAAAACGCGCTCAAAGTTTTTTGAAAGCTCGCAGTGCGCGTGAGACACGCGTGTTCGAGAAGCCGCTATTTGAAAAATATTCATCGTATTGCAAAATCCCTTTACAGACATATTCTACAAATATATGGCTTTCATTTTTTTGGATAAAAAAAATCGATTTTTATCTAAAGTCAGAGGAGGATCCCTTTAAATCACGAAAATATAAAATTCACGGTGAAAATCAGATTGAATCGATTGGAATTCCCCACATAATACTGGAAAGTTCATCAAACTTAAGCCAACAACTTCCCCAACTCTCACTGGTTGAGCTCATCGCCAAGCATATGCAAACATCAGTCAATTTACATTCACTTATGTACATGAGTACAACATACAACCCTTAAGATATAAGATAAGAAATTCGTACCAACCTTGTTGACTTTTCACCCATTATCTTCAGCATATATATGTATGTATATTCGTTTCCTATTGTGTTTTGTATGGATATTTTGTACTTCTACTCTTCTCCCCTTGCCTTTTATTCAAGAAAGTGTGTAATTTATGCAAGTCAAACGTCGCTCAACTCCATATTAAATTGCCGTTATTGTGCTCGTAAAATTTTAAGTTAAATCCTTGATTGCGTTTGTGTGAATTACACCATCCTTCACAGATAATTCACTTTAAGCAATCTTAAATGCGCCGGAGAATATGCAATATTTGAAGTGTTCCTGTATTTATGATTTCAAAAAGTGGAAAATTCTTAAGCTTATTAAAAAAAAAGCTCACTTTCAAGTTTCAATTCAGTCATTTAAGGAAAAAATTGTCGCTAAAAACAAATCCAGTAATATTGGGGTACGCCCCCGTCTATAAACCCTCTATAAGTCGTCGTATCTATACGACGTGGAACAATTAAGTAATGAGGCTGATTATATTGCCGCGGTTGTGGTAACCCTACGACTTTAAATTCCTTTTCTCTTCTAACGGTATCCTTTTCCTCTCCATTGATATAAGAGTATTTGCCATCGCTCTTGCTTGTTTAGTTCGCCTGCTGTGTCGGAAACATACGCTAAAATGTATAAGTGCATGATGATAGTGCCCAGGTGTTTCGATGCCATAAAGAACTTAAGGAGTGGCGTGAAAGCGTGGAAGACGAGGTGCGAAGCGGGAGACCAGTTTTGCCTTTTTTTGATAGCCGTGGAATCGTCCACAAAGATTTTCTTCCACCGGAGCAAACCGTAAATCACTACTTACTGGATCCTTCATTACAACAACACACCGTGACACACCGCCAAATACGGTTTGCTTCATCCTTCTGCGCACTTGAGTAACCCTCCCATATGAGCCGTGTTACGATCCATAGCATAGTCGTGAGGCGGACAGTCTTTTTTCTTTCCTCAACGTACCTGTTCTTCTTTTCATCTCAGCAGAAATAGCTTCTTTTACAGCAGTAAGGAGGGAGTTAAAAATACCATCTTACAGTGCGCTCATGCCGGAATACCTATTATTCCAACTCTGGCGTTAAGCTTGCCAAGCACAATTTGGATGTCAAGGGGAGAGCATCGCTAATCTACGCCTTCCTGGCGCTCAGAGAAGGTCACAGAACAGAGGAACCATCCTCTATCATATGTTAAAAGCTGCCACTTCAAAGCAAATTGAGAAAATCTATTCGTTTTACGGTATAAGCGATATTACTCGGCTACGGAGTCTCTATTCTATAAAGAATTTACCTTTCTTTATTTGAACTGTAATGTAAATATATTACAAACACCTATCCTCTTCTGTGTTTTCCCATCAATTGAGTCTTTTGGACGGATAAATATATTTCTACAGCGAGCCAAAAGTAGCCACGCCTCTGTCTCATTGGGCATGTTGGAATCAGAGAGAAACTGAGTTTGTGCAGGAATGTCTTTTCCAGTGTAGTGAACGAATGGTTAACACTGTATACTGCTATACAGAGGGATATTGGTTCGAACTCAGACCAGACCAACAACTAAAATTATAGAAAATTGGATTAAAAATTTATTTTGTGATCGCCGCTCGGCAAGAAACGATAACCACGAGTGTATTTCAGATTTGAAAGAAAAGTTCCATCAAACACTCCGAGGCGGCAATCAATATTCATACCACAATTAAATTTAAAGATGAGCTCGACCTAAATTCACTTCAAGGGTGAACCAGACAATTAAAATCAGTATGAGCTCCGACCAATCTACAAAAAGCAGCATCTCACAGGCTGTAGCAATTATCATGGTTATAATCTAGTCAAAATCGTATTTTGAATCTAATTACCATATATGTAAATCTTGAAAGAGCCCGAAAAGAAAAGGATCGACACAAATCAGCTCTTCGGCGAGTATTTTAGTTGCTATGTCTGAGCTTGGTAGCGCCAAGAAATGCTATATAAACTCGCTGAACTCTGTAGATGTTAAACAATATCAGAAGCCCGATTAGAGCCTACAATGATCTCTCTGCGGTTCTCGATGCTGAAAAGGTTCCATATAAGGCGACTCTGTACAGTTTGACTTCTTTAATTTAATGGTGCTAATGTTTTTTGTAGTTGTAAGCCATTGGTTCTTGAATTTTATCTGAACTCACATGGCATGTAAGCCTACGAATCACTTGGTCGTTGCAAAAAAAAAAAATGGTGACATTATTTTCATATAATACATTAATAGCTTTCCGCAAAATATTTTCACGAGAATTCGGTACGCATAAAAACCTAATAGATGTCAGCCTCAATTCAAATTTAAATTTTTATCATTCCTTTTATTAATATAAATTAAATTAAATTTATTTCCGCTTGAAAAACAGTTTGCTTTACTGAAGACCTGTGATGTGAGGCTATTTCATCACATACACCCCTACTATTTTCAACACCAAAATGTGCAAAAATTGGTCTACAGTTATACCTGTATATACGTTAGGGTGAGCCAAAAACTTACCTAAGGCGCGCAAGCCAGGATTTCCTATATAATCAACTCTAGTGACAATTGAAATCTAATGAAGAGCTTCGAAGAATCCCAAAGAAATCCCAATTTAAGCGTATTGTTCTCTCAACCAGTATAAATTCTCGAAATCTTTCAACTGTGCTCAATAGAAGGACATGATTGAAGCTTTGAATAAAACATTCAACAAGGCCACGTATCTAAGCATAATGATTGAGAGCTATGTTAATACTATAAGAACATAGTCTTCATATACCATAATACATCTGACCTGCAGAAGCTCAAAGTTACGTGAGGGGCTCCATTCTCCAATCAGACCTTTGGAATACTCAATGAAAGTTTTCGACGCAATAACTGCCGGTGGAAGCAGAAAAAGAGAAAGACCTTCCCTCCGTTTGGAAAGACTAGGCAGATTAGGTCTCGGCAGCTCTTAGTATGTCCGATGAAAAGTAGGAATGAATACTCGCGTAAGCGGCTTCCAAAGATTGCAAAGAGTTCTGCTGCTTGGAAGACGCAGTAGTAGTCTGGTAGTCTCAAGGTCATAGTATTTATTGAGAGTACCGAAGAGTGGATTCCTTAGCCAACTATTTCTACGAGCTTTGAGCGGACACCTTTTGAAATTGAGTCAAAAATTTTGTCTTCTTCTTGTTTTTTAAGTAAATACATGGCATAAATTTGAACCATAAACGCGATAGCTCAGATTTCGGCTCCCCCTAATATAATATATATAAAGTCGTATATGCACAGAAATTTGCTCGGTCAACAAATCACGCTATAACAGGATTTCAAGCATTCCATTAATGCACACCGAAAGCACTTGACCGACGAAATAGTAACAAAATGTGAAAAAACGACAAAAATAGCAGTAAAAAATAGTAATTTTTAAATAAAAAGGTAACTTTTTTTTACTTACCAACACTTGCATGCTGCATAAAGCAGGAGGATTAAACCATTTTTTAGCAGTAAAGCTATAAATAACAACAACAAATGTAGCACGGTCGATATGTTTTGCATGTATGTATGTATGTATGTATGAATTATATGTACGTTCGTTTGCAACGAATAATGTTTAAATCACTTTTTACGCGCTCCAAACACACCGATTGACCGATACTAACAACTCAATTCGTCAAACATCGTCGATGGGTTTGCAAAAATCAAATTCGGAAATTCAACAATTCCACGAACGCGAACGTATAAATTTGCATTTTCGCGCATGGCAATGTTGTTGTTGTTGTTGTTGCTGCTGCTGCTTCTGCATTTGCATTCACTTTGATTGCGTTGCGTTGTTTTTGTTGTGCTTGCTTTTGATTGTTGTTTTTTAAATGCAAATAATTTTTCAATTTCTGTTGCAACGTCACGTAATCGTTGAAATGCTGAGGAATCACATAAAATAGAGGAAAAGAAAAGTAAGAAAAAAAACCCAAAAACAATTAGAGAGAGCGAGAACACGCGCAAGCAGAGGTGACGACAGCAAACGAGCTTCAGGTTTGGAGACGTGCACTTCCGTTTGATTTTTCACATTTTTCGCTTTCTTTATTTTATTTCATTTTTTCTGTACTTTGCTTTATGCTTTTCTATGTTTGGGTTTAATAACTGAAGCAATAAAAGTGCCAAATCGTTGACATAAATTTCTCAAATTTGTCTGACGGTTTTCGAAGCATTTAAAGCCAAGTGTGGTGGAGTTCTTTCGATGTGTTGGAAAATTTTTGGAATTAAGTAGACATACTAGATCTCAAAACCGCCTCAACTTAATTTTATAATTTTAATTTTTTTTATCACATTGTAAGATCCAGTGCAGTTCACTAAAAATTACGATCTTTTTCCATTTAAGTTTTTTCGAATTGGGATTTTTTTTTTTTAATTTTTCTTTTCGAAATTTATTTATGAAGATGAATTTAATATTATATATGTATGTATGTACTCGTATATATACATGTTTATATATATAATTTGAGCTTTGTAACCGCTGAAGCGATTTTCGACCGAGCTCCACCTCCAATTTGTGCTGCGCGCCTTGATGTTTCTCTAACAAATGGAGGTACCTACAGTTTAATTAAAAACGCCTCCGAACAGCCGATGATTTTTTTACGAGGAGCCTTTTTTCATGTCCGAAATACACTCTGAGCAGCGAACATTCCATTCCATTACATTTATTTTCTATATTTTTGGATGTTTTTTGAAGCAGGATTGATACCGGGACTGTCAGAATAATAGTACGCGATGTTAATAACTCGGCTATTGCGGGCGCCATGAATTTAATATTAGGTACAACAAAAAGTCGTCCCTTACTTTAGCATCAGATGGCTTTAATGATCTGTATCCCTCTTTCTATAAGTGCGATTAGATTAAGCAGATGACATTAAAAGGATGACGTGATGATGAATAATAACAATGGAAATCGTAGAGTCTGACCGTCATGCGAACACTATTTCGATTACCTAGGAGTTAAACATTGTACAAAAAACAGTTTGCTTTAGAATCTAAAGTGTAGAATCCATCTTGTAGTTGAGTGGTTGTGGCTGCTGTCATTACCAGCACACTCAGGCCCATAGGCCCATTGTGTTACCGCCGCAAGGCTCAAATCTTCATCACCATCTCATCACTGCTCATAACTGCCAAGCCCATAAGGCTTATGAAGGTGAAGAAATTCAGACAATTAAAGAAGTGTTTCCCTGGGACCCGATGGACTCCACCTCTTCCTCGTTCCCATTCTTTTCCGGTGAAGCCCCATTTAGTCTGCCTCTTTTATGCCTGTTGTTATGTTAATGGAGAACCGGTCTAGAAGGATAAGATGTTTTGATTTATTCTCGTCCGATTTCGACCATAGCTGCCATAGCCGTCTTGAGTCTGCTTCCCTAGCAAAGGTAAGTTTAAGGATGTACTTTGCCGTGGAGAGACGTAAACCAACATCGTGTGCATGTTTTACCGTGGGTAGGAGTATTCCTTCAATGCGTCCAGGTACCCAGACCACGGAAGTATTACATTTAGTTGGGAGTTTGTTAAGATTGCTTCTGTATTTTACGGTCACTTTTGACGTGGTACTGTTCCATTGTATAGATCTGATGGCAGCTTGACTGTTAGAGTATATTGTAACCGATTACCCTGCAGGCACTTGGCGGCTTTCACGATTGCAAACAGTTCCGCTTGGAAGACGCTGCAGTGGTCTGTTGGTCTCATGAGAGATTGGAGAATAATAATTTACTGAATGGTTATTTTTAATACCAAAGTAAATTTTATTGCCTCGACAGAATAGGGGCGTTAAATAATAACATTTTCACATATACGACTACATATTAACAACTTTACAGCACATTCCATTTTGTCGTTTTGCTTGCAACACCTTTTTTTGGCAGCCGCAACGCCAGAACAAGTCATAATAACTTGCAACAGAAACTTTGAGGCGAAAAAACAATAACAAAAATTAAGTAGCAACAAATAAAAGTATGTAAAAATAATATGCAACATGTGTAAAATATACAGGGTGATCCATCTTTTATGTCGGTATGCAAACGCTGAAGAACTTTCACATTTACCAACCGAGCGATTGCATCTGACATGTTTTGAAAACGTCAATTCAGTACAATTTTTGCCATGGATCGCTTTACACCGAAACAACCTCGCAAACAGTCGTTCCATTGTGTTAGCTCAACATGTATATCGGAAAAAATATCGTGGCAAAAAGGCACCATCTGTCAGATCACCTGATTTAACCCCCCCGGACTTCTTTTTGTAGGGTTATCTGAAAAGCAAGGCTTACGACAACCAGCCTGAAAACTATTGATGAGCTCAAGGCAAACATTCGTGCTGATTTGCTCGGAGAGGTAACGGCAAACATGGAAAAAAGGAGTCATTTTGTACTTGAAAATGAAGTTAGCCACTCGATTGATATTGTTTCCAAAAACTAGGCCAAAAAAATTGTATGGAACCAAATTGAATAAAAAATATATCATTTATAGAAATCGGTTGCTTTCTCTCAAAGTTATTCAATGTTTACATACCGACATAAAAGATGGAGCACCCTGTATGTATGTACTAGTGTGTTGTGCAATAGTTAGCGCGCGCACTAAATGACTGACTACTACTTATTTTTAGTATTTGGTCGGCAGCTGCGGGTGGTCGGTTGGCAACTTTAACGCGCGCTCGGCGCCGCTTATGGAAAGTTACAACTTTTCCACGATGAGTAAGTAGTAGCGCGTTGACAGCTCTAACTGCATCTGTTTATAGGTGCATACATACATATGTAAGTACTTGTGTATGTAAGCATGTAGTTGTATGTCAAACCCAATTATAAACTTTTTAATTAATTAAATGCAATGTCAACAAACCAAAAATAGCAACAACGAAAACGGTTAAAATTATTAGCTGTTGCGCGCGTCGGTTTTGTTAAGCAAATATAGACTATTGCATACAAACGGGTTATACATTTTACGGTTTCCTCAACATAAACGTAAAATATATGTACATATGTATTTAAAATAACTTTTTTCATGAAATTCCTTATTTATTATAAAGTTTGAACCGTGGCATTAGATTGATCCAGTAAAAAGTGCATTCGGTTTTTTATTGATTTTTCAAAATATGATAACTTTGTGTACATCTGTCCGATGCGCCGTTTTGTACGTAAACTTTGTTGTCTGTTGCCAACCAGATACCAACTTCATTACAGACCTCTCGTAGAAGACTGCGTCCCGATAGTCAAAAAAGTCACAGGCCTCTCTTGAGGCCAACTTCTCACCATTAAGCGCGTTCGCCTTGCACAAGAAAAGATGGTAATGGCTTGGTGCCAGGTCCGGACTATAAGATGGGTGCACTAGAACCTCCCATCCGAGCTCCTGAAACTTCTGGCGCATCCCCAAAGACGTTTGTGGCCAAGCGTAGTCCTGATGGAACGCAATTTGGCCTCCTTTGATCAAAGATGGCCTTTTTTGGATGAGTGCTGCCTTCGAGCGGTCCATTTGTTGGCAGTAAGGGGCCGAATAGAGCGTTTGGCCATAAGAGAGCTACTCGTAGTAGATGACTCCTTGCCAATCCCACCAAACAAACAGCAAAACCTGGTGCATCTTTGACATCGGAATCACCGGAACTGAACCTAGTAAGCCACATTTGTGCTACACGTTCGTTTACAGTATCGGGCCCTTAAACTAAATTAATTTTTTCAGCCGCTTTTGACTGCTTTTTCGCCTTGATCGAAGCAAAATTGTAAAATATAGCGAATTTTCTCTTTGTTGGTGTCAATCTTTGACGAGCGCTTACAACGTACTGAGTCAATCAATCGAAAAACTGTCAAAGACAAACTTTTAGCGCGAATAAACACGTTTTCAGCGCAGTATAGTATGACATGATGCGACACGTAACACTAGTACTATGGACAATAGCGCCATCTATTAGATAAAAACCGAACGAGCTTGAGTTAATTTTCGACCACTTTTTGGTACATATACCACTTTGGGTGGTGTCCCAGCTATAACTTGAGGAATGTTTGATTTTTAAGTAAATAAGGGTCAAAGGTTTATACTGTCTCTCAAGTAGCCTTACAAAAAAAAAATCCAAAAGTCGGTGGTCAATTGATAATGGCAAGACGGCAGTGCGCCCCGGAAATCTCTCTCGCAATAAAGCCAAATTCACTGCGCGGGGTGTGTCACATCTTTTTGAAACCACATCGTGTCCAACACGATCGTCACGTTCCAAGTTGGCACTAAGAGTTTCGCCGTTGTCGTATTCAAAGAAGTACACGTAAGGTCAAATCACACCTCCAGACCATTTGACAGACGTCAAAATACAGCGCTGTACTTTTGAAACCACCTAATGGATAAACCTGTACATACGTAGAGTAAACTAAAACTGTATTTAAAGGTTAAAATGTTGTTTGTACTTGTAACATATACGCTTTAAACAATTCTAGCGTTGCTGTAGTAAACTTTTTTTTATATTTTATATTCCATTCCATTCCACGTTAGTCTTTACTACTGCACTTTTACTACTATTTTACAATTTCATCTTCTTCTATGCACACACTTTTATTACAACTTATTTTGTCTTTACAACAACTAAATTCTCATTCGTCGGTTTACTGCGGATTTTAACAAGATTACACTGTAATTTTGACGCTGCGACACTGTCACTGTTGGCCAGGCCACCCACGCGGTTGCTACTGCATTGCAGTGTGCCGAATATAGCATGCAACGCAGTATGTAATTTAGTAGGTGTTTAATTATTTTCTACCCAATGATTGAGTACATACATACATACTCGTATGTACTACATTCTTACAGAAATTCTGTATAGTAAATATATTGCTTAACTTTTATTAGTGAAGAACGTGTAAAATTCGTAAAGCAAAATAATGGAAATTATTAAATTTATAAAAATATCTGAATAAAAAATTGATTAAACTTATTTTTTTGCCGCCGACTCACAAAGGAATATAAGGTCGGAAAACCATGAATAGTAGCAACACAGTTGAAATATCGTGGGTCGAGAACTTTAAATTGATTCCAAATAAAAAAAAAATAGATCACACATCGTTTTGCATCAGAAAAAGTTCTTAGAAGCAGTGAAGCAGTAGATCAAACGACGGGTTAGTGGCTGCATACATATGTACTGGATTCCCGGCCACAAGGGCATTATGAGCTTACGAAATAGCTCAGGGGATTACCAAACGTGTACTGCGCCTTGCTAACGAACCAACACAGAAAATACAATAGTCGCTAAAAACGATCCATGATGATATTTCCGAAATAGCTGGGCGCCAGATCAGGGTGCAAAGGAAACACCCATTTCTTGCTTGCTTATTCACTTAAGGACGTGCAGTACAGTTTTTGGCCTTAAGAGCAATGACACATGTAGGAGAAGTGCAGAGAGGAACGTTCTCTATTCACCTGTTTCGGTCTGGCCTTAGCTAGAACTCGTCTTAGATATCTTGGAGCTTTGCGCTTCAGAAGGTCAGAGCAAGATTAAAAATTGTACATTAAGACTCTCTTGAACTTCAATGATTACTTTAAATCGTAATAAAACGAGCCTCCATTTGGCACTACAAGGAAACACTGAATCTATGTATGAGGTATCAATCGGCCAGTGTAACCTAACCTAAAATAAAGAAGCTATTGTATACTTATACAAAAAAAGAATTTGCATGACACGAACAGCACAACCAAAAATAAACAAATTGACTCGTTATAGATCAGGTGATCTACCTGCGTATGAGGTGTGACATTTAAATAATGACACAGATTATATTGTCGCGATTGTGGTAACCTGCGACTTTAAACTCTCTTGTAACGGAAACCTTTCCCTCTCCATTGATATATTTGCCATCGTTCTAGCTTCCCTAGCTCGCCTGCTGTGTCGTGTTGAGTAAACCACGAGCAGCTCATCACGAAAATGGAAAAACGAAATCAAGAGCAATTCGTCGCGATAAAATTTTGCATCAAATTGTGCGAAACAGCTTCGGTAACGTACGCTAAAATGTATAAGCGCATGGTGATAGTGCTCTTAGTCGTGCCCAGGTGTTTTGATGCCAGAAAGAATTTAAGGAGGGGCGTGAAAGCGTGGAAGACGAGGTGTGGAGAGAGCGACCAGTCTTGCCTTTTTTGATAGCCATGGAATCGCCCACGAATATTTTCTTTCACCGAGGCAAACCGTAAATCAAGTCTACTATCGCTAAGCACTCGAAATTTTGCGAAAGCGAGTGAACAGTGTGCGCCAGACACCGCTCGTAACTGGATCCTTCATCACGGCAACATGCCGTGCCACACTGCCTTGGCATCTAAAGAGATCGCTGGGTTGCAACAAACGCCTTATTCGCCCGATATGTCACCCTGGGACTTTTTTTATTCCCGAGAACGAAATCGGTGGTCAAAGGAACCCATTTTGAGTCGATTGAGGACATCCAGGCGACCGTGACGAGAGTACTCGCAGACATCCCAGTCGAACCGTTCCACAAATGTTACGGAGCATGGAAAATGCGCTGGAATCGTTGTATAGGTGCCCAAGGGGACTATTTTGAAGTAGATGGCAGAGTTCTTGTTGTAATATACGCTTTTATGGAATCAGTTTCATTACTTAATTGTCACACCTCGTATAGTTGCCTCGTAACTAGCTCCGATGGTATTTGAGTCTGGTAAAATAGCCGGAGATTGACTCTGATATTCTTTTTTTCCTCAACCCGTTCTAGAAACGCCAAAAGCGAAATGCTCGCTTTTATCCCCATAAAGTGTACGTGGTTCTTCGACAGAGTCTCCGACGTTGGAGACCCGACTAGCTCATCTCCCGCGAATGGTGCCCGAGTGTGCGACTAAGTCGATTTTGGTAGAAATCATACTATGGAGTGATCCGTTGGAGTGTGGAGGTCTGGTTATCCAAAATGCGCTGGGATGAAGGCTTTTAGCGCAGTTGAACGCTGCAAAAATGCACCAAGAAAAAATTCTAGAAAGCTGCTTTAGCCCTTAGAATTTTTTTTTTAATAATACCACGTGGGAAAAGTAGGCAAACAGCTCTTTGAAGCATGTACATATGGGGAATTAGAGTTTTCCTTTGTGAGGTTATGTACGGCCGAGACAGCCCACCTATTATTTTGAACAAAAATGATTGTATTTTCATAAAAGCTCCTCCTGGACTGCCGGAAAACTCTACTCTAAATAATTGAAAATTCTCCTCACTAAAATCAGCGTTGGGTTTAACGAATGCAGTCTGAACTTTGACTGCTGCGCCGCCACACTCTGACATTCGCTCAACTGCTGTTCAACATGCATTTGTATGATGGGTGATGGGATGTTGGAAAAATTGATTGTTGATTGCTAGTGGCCCCTCAACCCAACAAGCTGCGTCATTATTTCCGTCGTTGCATGCACGCGCACTTGATTTATAACTTCCAACACTCTTTCACTGTTCGCACTCTGCTCGCGCTTGTTTTGTCGCAAATTGCACGCATTGATGCCGAAAACTTGTGCATTTTCATCTACATACATATGTATGCATGTACGAGTATATATATGTGTACGAAAATTTGGTGGCGGTGGCAAAGGCGAACTGCACGCCACCGTCTGCTATTTGTGGTTGTCGCTGTAGAGCTTTTCACAGTTTTTTGTTTACATATTTGCTTTCGTTTTATATATTTTTTTTTTCTTTATTCAATTACAGTTTTCACTACGTTTTCAAGACTCTTTTTTTTGTGTACTACGTTTGATTGTGCGAAAATTTCAATTTATACCAACGCTTTAAGCGCTTTTAGTGGTTCATTTAGCGTGGTTGCCATGTACATATGTATATACATACATATGTATGTATGTGCTTGTGTTTTCCAATGTCTGGTCTAACTTTCAAACAAATCAGACAGTTGCCGGGTGTTGTACACACGCGCACATACACAGATACACACATATACTAAGTTTATTCACTCAGCCAGCGGCCACCCACTCACTTGCCAAAACACAAGAAGACCAAACAAAAAAAAATTTTAATAATAATTTAAATTTAACAAAATACACACACACAGGCAACATTTACCGTTAGCGACTGCAATATGCCAACACAAAACTGTCAAACGCACCTTTTTAGCTACTCTTACGCCTTTCTCAAATTATCAATTATTCACTCAATTATCAATTATGAGATTTCCAAAACACAACACCACCACCACCACTACTACCGTTACGCTGTCATTTGAGTCGAAATACAACGTATCGAAACGTATGGAATGTATTTTGTGTGGATAAACTTAAAAATCGTTAGCGTTTTCCGTACACACAGAACTGAACGGCTGAGCGTCACACGTTAAACTGAAAAAATTCTACGCTGAAAGAAATTTCAATTATATTCTGAACAACTTTAATCTCCACCACCGTCAACGACCACCGCCACCCCAAACCCCAAAAAGAAACTGCACACACACACACACACACAGAGACAAGACAATAGACGATAACTCGGCACGAAAAATTTTTAGAAGCACAAAAACAACCATTGACTGAGTACCCGACTCCCTGACTGTGCGACTACCTGCTGCTAATATGAGTAGCAGCGGCGCACAAGCAGTAACTTTGACATCTCCAAAACGCTCATTGAGCCACCACATATAGTTCGTCGCTGTCCATAAGCGAAGCGTACATACATACATACATATGTACATACATACAATACATTGTTAAGCTATAACGAGCTCGGACAGTCAGAGACAGGCCGACCAGCCCCATTTAAGTACACTATTCTACGCGCATTCTATACTAGTTTGTATTGGACATACATGTATACATACACATAAGTTTGTATGGAATTTCACAAATGGTCAGTCTGCGTCAATGCTCTCCGCTCTCCGCTCTCTGGCGTTACAACAAAGTTTTTCGCGTGCATACAAAGTTTGATGAATTTTCTCATTAAATTTCTTTCCTTTTCGCAAGTATTAAAGCCCATGCTCTGTCTGTCTTTTAAGCACAAAAAAGTGTTTCTCTTTGCTTATTCTTATTTTTTCTTTTTTCTTTTTTAAACAACAATAAACATAACTATTGTTTTGCCACAAGGTTGCTTATATCTACGTTTGGGGTGTGACGCTTTCGAAAATCATTACATTTTGTGTGAGTGTTTTCATCACACAACCCACCCAAAAATGGCAAACCCGTCAATGTGCTTACAAAATTGGTAAAGTAACTACTCCCGCAAGCACACACGAGTACGAGTGCATTGTTATTGTTGCGCTTTTTGTTTTTGTGGAGCATTGTTTGTTTGGCAAACTTACGTTTATATGTACATACGAGTACATACAGACATGCCAAGCTCACGGTTGTTCTCTATTTGGCTGGGAAAACAAAGCATGCATTGTGCGTAGCTTGAGCTGAGTAAGAACAGTGTGGTCGAATGAGAGAAAATTCTTAAAAAAAAGCTTAATGGCGATTTCAACAGTAGTAGTCTTCTTCTTCTTCTTCACTGGCGTAGATACAGCTTACGCGATTATATCCGAGTTAACAAATATCTGCCATTCATTCCTTCTCCTCGCTGTACCAAGCACAATCAGTTCCTTCTCTACCTCGTTTTGATCGGTCTGCGGTATTCGCCGTTCCCAATGCGCAAAGCACCATAAATCTTACGCAAAACCTTACTCTCGAAAACTCCTAATTCCTAATAGTGGTGCCAAGATAGACGAAGTTATCTACGACTGCAAAGTCATGACTGTCAACAGTGGCGTGGGAGCCGAGTCGTGGGAGCCGAGTCGTGGGCGCGAAGGTCAACTCAGATACCAGACCCATATCCTTCGCTTTCTGATCTAGTCTGAAGAAAGCAGAACTCACGGTGCGGTGGTACGCCAGCAGCTGTACACTGTTATTAAAGATTGAATAGGGAAGGTATTCACCTCTTATCTGAAACATCCTTGGAACTAATTGAAAACGGCTAGAAATACTAAGAAGTTCAATGTGTGGATGACACATAAGCTGACGAGAAAAAACATCATGAATATCCATCTGCGAACCACTGCTGAATCGTAACAAAACCAATCCATTTCTGAAGCACATACATACATATACCATATAAATGGTCATGGTCGAGGAGCAGTTAGCTGTCACAAACAGTATCCAAGCCAGGTTTTGTTGTGTATTTGTTGACATTGACAAGAAATATTGCTGCTTCGTCTGGGAGAAGCAATCGGCCCATAGCCCAGCTTTGGTCGACAGGAGAGAAATTGTGTTTCACCAGGATAACGCCAGATCACACACAACGAGCGTGGCTCGCCTGTAGCTCCGAGAGCTTTGTTTGGTGGTTATAATGCATCGTACGTAGTGATCTGTTTCTGTATATGAGGAATGATTTGGTTAGTGAAGAGTTGACCTCAAGAGAAGCAGGTTAAAATCGATTGTCCTAATTTTTTTGCCAATTGGGAGTTTCTGTGAGAGAGACGTGACGACATTGTTTTTAAAATGACAAAAGGTTAACAAACCAAACGGTGCATGATTAACAAAAATCGGACAACAATGCAAAATAATGGATTGCAATGGATGGTACAACTTTTTCTAAGCCGACATAGAATTTTCCTTAATTTTTTTTTATAATTATAATATAGCTTAGTATGATCTTTCATAGTTGCGGAGGAAGGAGGTGAGAGCGAGTTTTCTTCAGATGAAAATTTCGTTAAATAAAATAATTTTATTGGGCAAAATAGTAATATTTTCGGAGCATATATTTCCTCAAAAAAATAACAAATCCAAACATAATCAACCTTCGAGAATAATTGCACGGCGAGAGGAGGAAGTATTCTGTGTTCTTGATAAACGTCAGCCGATAATCAAGTGGCTTATTAAGGAAAATTGTGTTGCACCTGAAATGAGTATCTTATACCATAGCAACCATTGGCTTTAAAACTTCATTATTGATAAGAAAGCAAAGGCTGCATGAAAGGAAAGGCTTCTATGAGGACTATAAAGTAACCACACGGCTTAAGGGCGCTTCCTGAAAATGCAATTTTCATGATAAAAGACATTATAGAAAACAGCATCTCTTCTCGTTCTTTATTTTTGTTTCAGTTTTTTTTTAGTTTAATTTTTCTTACTTCTCCACTCCTAGCCCACTGTAACTCAGACTCAGTTGAAGTGAATGCATATTTTAAAGGCAAAGTACGTCCAGTAGCCAAATATGATATTAGCGAGAGAGAGCCTCTCAATACAACAAAAATATGTGCATGAAGTATAACTGACGTACGCTCCCAGAAAAAGCTCATTTTCAATGCAACCCTTGTCGTTCGCTCTTTACACCATAATAACTCCTGCGTATTGCGCGTGCGTCACATGTGTCAATAATATGCATCGATAGCAATGCCGTCAATAACAATAATAACAACAGCACGCATAAAGGGTGCATAGCACAATGTAATTAAAGAGAAATGTGAGAGGATAAAAATAATGAGCATTAAAATCCCAACTCAATGCAACTGAGAATGGACAAAATCAAATGCAAGCATGCGAAAATCTTACAATTCTATACATACATACATACAATATATACATGCATAGCATATGTCGGCCCACCCTTACGCATCACACGGCAAACTCAGGGGGTTACTGTGGCTTTGCTTTGTTTTGCTTGTGACTTTACTACCAACGCATCAACAAACTATGCAATTGTGGCTTAAGGAAACTTTGCTGAGAAAAAGTTAGGGAAAAAAACGAAAAACAATAACAACGTGAAGTTTAAGCTTAAAAAACCGATTGCTTTGCTACAAAACTACGCTCATTCCATTTGCTGTAGATTTAATAACATTGAAAGAATTTGTTTTCTGGTTACCCATCATCGCCTTGCTTTATCAGTGGGCTCCTCTTGGTTGGTATTTGCGTTTGGTTAGCATTGGGTTTGCGTTTGTGAGTTTAGAGTTTGACTGGAGTAAGCGCGGTTTTTCGTTCGTTCATTTGGCATGATGCCCAGTTTGTTCTTTTTTCCTTTCCAAGAAAAACTAACTTGTGCCAAAGGGACTAACCGAAAGGGGGTCAATGTACCTACCGCACATACAAACGTCTCCATACACTTACACATTTAAATGATATTTGCCATTTGGTCAGCACACTTATGTATGGACGAGTGTGTTTATACGTAAATATTTAGGTACTTGTTGCATTCATTGTGTCATTCCAAATAAGGTTTGTGAGTTGGCAAATTTTTGTTCATTTAAATATGCTCCATTGACCGCATTACTTACTTTTTATTGAAATGCATTAACTTCAGTGGAGGGTATTAAGTCGTATTATGTTCATTGAAGCTGTTTAAAGGTAAAAGTTTCGAAAGTTGGCATGAAGAAGTTTTCAGTTCAATAAAAACACAATTCGAATAAGTTGTACATATGTACATACATATAAAGACAAAGAAAATTATTATTTATGGAACTTATTTTAGACTTACTGATTCCACTGGTTCCTCTTTTTATTTCGTGATTTGGCAACCCTTGTGGTGTATTCTGACATTTTTGATGTTATTCAGGGTTATCCATTTTATTTTGGTCTCAAAAGTACAGCGCTGTATTTTGGCATCTGTCAAACTTTATTGTCAAATCAAGCACGTTTTGTTTTAGTTGAAAGACAGGCATTTGTGAAGGCTTAACCACCGCGCAACGCGTTAAAATTGTTGAAACCTGATACAAAAATGTTTCGTGCTTTAAGTGGAGATTATGGTACACATAGTCGTCCTACTACTCAAGGAATTAGAAAAATTTTAAAGAACTTTGAAGTGACGAGATCGGTTACAGATATTGTGAGGCCTGTACATCATCGTTTTGCACGTTCCGCCCCAAATATCACTGCTGTAAGAGAAAGAGTAGTCGAAGACCCAAATGTGTCTATTACTTGAAGTTTTAAAGAACTGCGACTTTCTTACGGCACATTATGGGATTTTGTATTGTTGGGCACACACCTACATCCACACAAAGTCCAACTCGAACAACAACTGAAACCAGTAGACCAGTTGGGTGTTGTTTGAACAACAAGTAGACGATTTTTCAAAAAAAAATTTTCATCAGCAACGAGCAACATTTCTCACTGGGCGGATACGTAAATACAAAAAATTTGGGCATAGAAAAACCTTAAATAACTGAAGAAAAAAAATAAAATAAAATAAAATAAAAAGGAGGTGTGATTGGATCTTACTTCTTTGAAATCGACAACTGTAAGACTGCCACTGTCAATTCGGATCGTTATGGTCGTTTGATAACCGATCTTTTGACTTGGACATACATACATATGTGACTTCAAAAAGGTACACAACACGAGCAAATATGGCATTGTCAATCG